CCCGCTGTGCGCTCCGGGCGCGGGGAGGCAGAGCGGAGGAGCCGGGAGCCCCCGGAGCCGGCCTGGGCTCCCCGGCAGAGGCTCCCGCGTGTCTGCCGTGTCCCGCCTCGGGGTTTCTCGTGTTTTTTTTTTTCTTTACGTGTGTGGATTAGCAGCCCAGGGGTGGACCGAGTGCTTTGGTGGCTGAGTAGGCACAGGGCAATAAGTTGTACCTCGGTATTACTGCCCTTGCTATCTTAACGGTTTCACCAGATGTTTCAATTTGCATGCGGCTATGCTCTGCTTTGTGAAGAAACAAGATTTATGTGATGCTTGTGTGCCGGCATCAGTTTGTCCTCCCTCTTTCCAAAACTTGGCCTGTTGGCAGGTTGCAAAAGAATTAGATGCAGGGGTTTTATTAGGTTCCTGACTGCTTTTGTGGAAAGTGGTGACTGCATAGAGAGGCTTATTAATATTTCTGCTAAAGGTTATAATGTGGTAATAGTTGTTCATTATCAGAGAATCAGTTTTGCAGCTGTATTTCAAGATAAATCTAATAAAGCCAACCTCAGTTCAGTCGCTCACACACCTCCATCAGCCGGAAGGATTTGTGCTGGTGATTTACCTACAAGGATGCAGCTTTTGTGGCTGTATCATAAAAAGAGTCTTTTTAAAATTGAAATGAATTTTGGTGATTCAGGAAGCTCTTTTCTGTGTGCATTTTGACAACATGATTACGTCCTTTCTGTGCTCTCAGCACTTGTGTAGCTTTCAGTGTTAAGAATCATAGAATGCGTTGGGTTGGAAGGGACCTTTAAAGGTCATCTAGTCCAACCCCCCTGCCGTGGGCAGGAACATCTTCAACTAGATAAGGTTGCTTAGAGCCACCTCCAACGTGACCTTGAATGTTTTGAGGGATGGGGCATCTACCACCTCTCTGGGCAACCTGTGCCAGTGTTTCACCACCCTCATTACAAAAAATTTCTTCCTTTTATCTAGTCTAAATCTACCCTCCTTTAGTTTCAAACAATTCCCCCTTGTCTTGTCGCAACAGGCCCTGCTAAAAAGTTTGCCGCTATCTTTCTTATAAGCCCCCTTTAAGTACTGAAAGGCCGCAATAAGGTCTCCCCGAAGCCTTCTCTTCTCCAGGCTGAATAACCCCAACTCTCTCAGCTCTTCATAGGAGAGGCGTTCCATCCCTCTGATCATTTTTGTGGCTCTCCTCTGGACCCGCTCCAACAGGTCCATGTCTTTCGTGTGCTGAGGGCTCCAGAGCTGGACGCGGTGCTCTAGGTAAGGTCTCACCAGAGCGGAGAAGAGGGGCAGAATCACCTCCCTCGACCTGCTGGCCAAGCTTCTTTTGATGCAGTACAGGGTACGGTTGGCTTTCTGGGCTGCGAGTGCACGTTGCTGGCTCATGTCCAGCTTTTCATCCACCAGTACCCCCAAGTCCTTCTCTGTGGGGCTGCTCTCAATCCCTTCATCCCCCAGCCTGTATTGATAGTGGGGGTTGCCTCGACCCTGCACTTGGCCTTGTTGAACCTCATGAGGTTCACGTGGGCCCCACTTCTTGAGCTTGTCCAGGTCCCTCTGGATGGCATCCCGTCCCTCAGGTGTGTCGACCGCACCACTCAGCTTGGTGTCATCTGCAAACTTGCTGAAGGTTCACTCGATCCCACTCTCTGTGTCGTTGGTGAAGACATTAAACAGTACCGGTTCCAATATGGACCCCTGTGGGACACCACTCGTCACCGATCTCTATCTGGACATTGAGCCGTTGACCGCTACCCTCTAGATGCAACCATCCAATCAATTCCTCATCTACCAGATAGTCCACCCATCAAATCCATCTCTCTCCAGTTTAGAGAGAAGGATGTCGTGGGGGACCGTGTCAAAGGCCTTACAGATGTCCAGATAGATGACGTCGGTAGCTCTTCCCATGTCCACTGGTGTAGTCACTCCACCGTAGAAGGCCACTAGGTTGGTCAGGCAGGACTTGCCCTCAGTGAAGCCATGCTGGCTGCCTCTCATCACCTCCCTGTCCTGCATGTGCCTTAGCATAGCTTCCAGGAGGATCTTTTCCATGATCTTCCCAGGCGCAGAGGTGAGGCTGACTGGCCTGTAGTTCCCCGGGTCTTCTTTTTTTCCCTTTTTAAAAATGGGGGTTATGTTTCCCCCTTTCCAGTCAGCGGGAACTTCACTGGACTGCCATGACTTCTAGAATGGAAGCAGAGTGGGGAGAATTTACGTTACTTGGACAACTGTCCACCTAACACTTCCCTTCCTAAACATTTTAATTTTGACTTTAAAAAGGAATAATTTATAGTCTGCAGTAGATTGTATTTATAACTATATTTTAAAGTCATATGTTTTAAAACATTTCCTTAGAGGGATTTATTACATCACTAAAATTCAATCTTGAGCTTAAAAGTTTTAAACTAGGTATCTTGTATATGACAAAATTCATACACAAAGAAAAAATGGAATGTAATTTATAGGTGAATTCTTGCATAATTATGTTTCACAGCTTTTAAAAGAGCTTAAATGACTTGCTGCTTTTGAAGCATGCCTATAGACATGCTGTTGGAGGTCTGCCTGTAGCAGCCTAAGCTTCTCACATCAAGATTTTTGCCACTCAAGCTGAAGCTGAGTAGGGGCACTCTGCCTTACAGCTTTTCAAGTTATCTACTTAGTTACGTTTTTGTTGATAGTGTTTTTTACAAAACAGTGCTGTAGGAAGCACTGATCATCTTGTAGGGCTAATTTTATATCAAGTAGTATAGTTTAAGGAAGCAGAATCTGTCTTTTTTTCTTTTACTATGTAATTTTAGCATATTTAAAGATACAGGCTACTACTAAGTAGTACAAGATACTAATTGCAGCTCAGAAAAGTTTGTCTTGGAAGCTTCATGTGGATAGCGTAGTTTTTATTTAATGTTACAGAAAACATAACACACAAACATTGTTTCCTTAAAGAAAATATTGGAATTGTTAAACTAAATGAAGCTGTCCACTAGGTGTCCGTAGTTCCAAGTAAGATGAAGCTTGGAAGGATGGTACATGATGAAGCTTGAAAGTAACTAATACTTGTTGCAACTACAACAACTGCTTCTTAATGTTTCTTTTGCTCAGCGTTTTCAAATTACGTTCCATGTTTTGTTTCGTATGTTGACCCCAAATGCAGTTTTGCTATTTCTTTGAGCCTATTTTACATATTTATTTCTCTCTTACCTTCCAAACAACATAAAGAATAATCTTTTTTTTCTGCCAACTTCACAGGACTTATTTCCAGACCTGCAAGTCTAGTTTTGCAAATATAACAGGGATGGGTTAAATGCCTTGAGGAAGCGCGAAACTACGATTTGAGCTGTTCAGAGCTACATAGTAACATTCTACAATTCTGTTCTTGTTGTTCATATCTCTGTTTTTCTTTTTTTGTTGTTGTTGTTTTAAGGGTTCTAAGTTTGGAATTAAATAAAGATAGAGATGTGGAAAGAATACATGGGAGTGGTATCAACACCCTTGATATTGAGCCTGTTGAGGGAAGATAGTAAGTATATACTTTAGTTGGTAAAAATGTATATGAGAACTTCACTGTATTTTGGTATTATGATTCTATTTTCTTGCTGAATACTCAATTATATTGAGCGTATTGAAATCATGAGTGTTGTAATTTGTGTGCTTTATTAATACTTTCAGCATGTTATCCGGTGGGTCAGATGGTGTTATTGTACTTTATGACCTTGAAAACTTGAGCAGAAAACCAAGTTACACATGTAAAGCGCTTTGTTCTGTGGGAAGGTAGGTACTCAAAAATTCTATTAAATGTTCAAATTGGTATCTCTTGATTAATTAAACTCACAAATTAATGTGTGTTCTTATTTCTAGGATAAAAAGACTGTAGAAAATAGTGTCAGAAATCTTTGAAGGCTAGCATGATGCAGTATGTTTTTTGGCATGCAAAAAAAAGCAAGAAACTTTGTGAGGATTTATGTGATTTACTGAATGGCAGTCACCTTACTATCGATAGAATTAATTCTGTATTTTTCTTTGGTAGAAAAGGTTGGGATATGTGGAATAATGGGGGGAAATACTGCATATAGAATAGTGAGAGAATATATATATATATACACTGCATATATATATATATACACACTGCATATATAATATATATATATACTGCATATAGAATAGCCCTGAGACATGAAACCAGGCTGAATGGCATGTGGCCATTACTAAGCCTAGCTAGATCAAAGGTGATTCCTGCAGAGCTACTCAAGAGTTTTTTAGTTCATTCCTCAGTCCTCTGGATTGTGGGAGAATTGATTGCTCTGGTGCAGTGCTGAACACAGTCCAGTGTTGTGCACTTGTATTTATTGTACCAGGATAATTAGCTACATGACTTTAGATTTTTCTGCACAATGCAAACAAATGCCTCTGCAGGAGTAAGTTCACGCTGAGTCAGGCTTGATTTCCTGGCACTGCAGGTACTGAAGATTTTTAGCTTGACCCCTCTGTAGAATAAATGCACAAAATCTGTTGATTTTTAGCACTGTGGCAAAGGAACAGGCCTTTCTCGGGTCTGCTTCAGAGGTGAGCAATGCAGGAGCTAGTAAACTGAGTTCAACAGTTGCTCAATAGCTCTTGCTTAGTATTGTCAATGCTGGCTTCTGTGCTTTCTAGCAACCCAAGTAAGCATGAAGGTTTATTAGCTTAGGTGTAGTGCCAGATCAATACAGAAGATCTGAATCTGCGTTTACACAATGATACCCCTGCAATAGCTATCGCTTTGGAGGCGAGGACACTTGAGAGAACAATGCAAAGATAAGAGCTGAAGTGAAGAAATCTTGTGAGCCCTTCGCTAGCTGCAGGTGGAGCCAGTTGGACTATTTTCGCATGTGTACTGCGTCTGGTTGGGATGGAGTTAATTTTCATCGTAGTAACTTGTATGGTGCTAAGTTTTGGATTTGTGACCAGTCTTGATAACACTGATGTTATAGCTGTTGCTGAACAGTGCTTGCATAGTGTCAAGGCATTCTCTGTTCCTCACTCTGCCCCCTCAGCAAGTAGGCTAGGGGTGGACAAGAGGCTGGGAGGGAACACAGCTGGGACACCTGACCCAAATTGACCAAAGGGATGTTGACATTCCATCCCATTAAATGTCATGTGCAGCAATAAAACTGGGGGGAGCTTTCCAGGGGTTGCTGTTGCTCAGGGTCTGGCTGGGCATCATTCTGCCCGTGGTGATGGATTGCTTTTGCATCAGTTGTTTTTCTCTTTTTTGTGGGTTGTTTTGGTTTGTTTCCTTTTTCTTATTGAAATGTCTTTATCTCAGCCCACAAGTTTTCTCACCTTTGCCATTTGGATTCTCTCCCCTATCCCACTGCAGGGGGGGGAGTGAGTGAGCGGCTGTGGTGGTGCTTAGCTGCCTAAGGTTAACCCACAACAGTATGGTACTTCTTCTGAGTCTGGGAGCATGGTTTTGGGCCCTGAAGCTGGATCCATGTGGATCTAGCTCAGATATGAGTGGCCTCGCAGGTATGTGAAACGACCTGTATTGTTCAGAGCCTGGTCAATTGAATCATATCTTGGAGCTGTCAAGATTGGCTCTGGTGTCCCTTCTTCCCATCACTGTTAATGTATTATTAATTATATTACATTCTGTTACTATGCCTAGTTGAGTTGAAAGTTTCATATTGTTCTTCCTCTTTCATTTCTAAATGCAAAAATAGCTAATTCTCAGTAACTCAGTCCACTGCTATTTGGTGACTTCAGTATACATGAATTTCCAATAACTGTGTAGCTGTAATTATTAGCTAATAATCATGAATATTTTGAACTGTATATGTGATTGTATTTTTCAGTGGATCCATTTCTAAGACAGTGGGATTCCACAAGCATAAATGGTTTGTGGTGTTAGGCCCTCATGTTATACATTATATCTTTAAACATTAGAATTTTAAAATTTCAAAAGACATTAATGCCTTTTATGCCTCAGACTGAGTGTCTTATCTTGAGATATGCTACAGATACCATATTTTGAAAAGGTGAACGATTTGTGGTTTCTTGAAATGAGGGTTCTTCAAAGTAATTAACATTGGTTGATTGAAAATTGAGGCACCAAAACAACTAGTTCTTCTTTAAAACTTCAGTACCAATTAAAAAAAATGTTTAAACTGTGTTTTCAACTTGTCATCGAATATCAAGGCAATTATAAGATGATTATCAAGACTCTAACCAACTGGAATCTTCTCCTTGATTGTAGGAGCCATCCTGATGTACATAGATTCAGTGTGGAGACAGTCCAGTGGTATCCTCATGACACTGGCATGTTTACATCCAGCTCATTTGATAAAACCTTGAAAATATGGGATACAAATACTTTACAAGTAAGAGCGAATTTCTACAACTTGCAGGCTTCTTTGTATGCATGTTGTTCGTTCCGCATCTGCAGTTCACCCAGAGCTCAACAGGACCAAGCATCCAGAAGGATGAAAACCAGCCGATTGTTGGAACTGTGGGTGCAGCAGAGGGTGGTGTGGTTCTGGCATTCACGCATACTTTGGTGTGTACCTGTCTGTTTCTGAAGACCTCGATGTCTAAACTGCATGAGAGCCTGGAACTCTTGGGACAATTCCTTTCTGCTTTTGCTGTGAACAAGAATACTGCTAGTTGAATTTATGCTATGTTAACTTGTCCACCAAGGACTGGTCTGAAGTTCATTCTTGGAGATTGTTGAGTGTAATGGTAGTGTACAGCAGGGATAATTACTAAATACTGCTTTTGAAGGACTGGTGGTCTTGGCATTCAGGGTCATTAGGTCCAAAATTCTGCTGTAGTAAGCACTATAGACACCGTTTCTAAAAATTGGTGGAGAATGAAAGAAACCATTAAGAAAATGCTAACCAATGTAACTGGCTTTATTAAAGTAAACAGATTCTGTAGGATTTTATGTTGCTTTGACTCACTAATCCTTGCATCTAATTGTTGAACTGTGAATTCTGGACTGCAGTTTATCCTGTTTCCAGTATGCATGTATTGATGGATTTACACTGATGCTATTTGAGTGTTGTTTCATGCATAGTGAAAGAATTTCAAAGAAGTAAGAGGTCTGTCATCCTAGGGACACAGTAGAGAATAAATTTGGACCCTTTTTTTGTGAGATGTGAAGCTGTGTTTGCAGTTACTAAATCTTCTTGTAAATGCAAAGTTTAGTTTGCTTTCCAGGTAGTTCTGTGAGCATCACTTAAGACAGTGTTCATGTGTAGGTTATTGACTGACCTGTTCTGCCACCAAATGGTGTATTTGAAAACACAGACAACTTAGTTTCAAGGAGGTATTTTTATATACAGTATTTTAGAATGAGGTAACAAAAGCAATTGTACCTGAAAGTACTTGTACTGATTATTAAAGCCAGTATTATATTTCATTAATTTTTAACACTCAGAAGGGAGCTAATGATTTTGTGGGTTGGTTTTTTTTTTATATGTGATGTTTGTGAATAAAAAGGGGCTTCTAAATTTAGTGAAAGTGCCTCTTTCCTATTGACTTCTATCTCCATATTACAACCTTGCTAGCTTTTTAAATTTTTGATGATTTTTAAATAATTTCCATTCATGCTTCAGATTATCCAGTTTTCTTGGTCTTTTTTTGGGGTCATCTCTGAGCTCTGGCATAGTTGTTCTAGTGCTGGAAACAGACTTATTTACTTTGCACTGTTTGCGTGATCTGGTTTCTAACCAGGAGAGTTACTGTTAGTATGTAAATAGTAATATTTGTATTGAATAGTCTCATTTGTGGCTGTTACTTGAAAAATACTTTATAATGAGGATTTACATTCTGATAACATGCTTGGGGCTATGATTAATTTAATCTTTTTATTATCAGCCTGCAGATGTATTTCACTTTGAGGGAACAGTCTATAGCCATCACATGTCTCCAGTTGCTACAAAGCATTGTTTAATAGCAGGTGTGTATGTGTTTTTAAGAAATGCCCTATATATTTTGGGGTTATAGTAAAAAGCAAGTAATATTCAGTAGGGTTTTTTTCCCCTTCCCTGTCTTATTTTTACTTAATTGAAGTCCTCATAAGACATGAGGTCATTGGTAAAATCAAGTAGTATCGTTTAGTCAGATATGTCGGTAAGAATATCACATTTGGTCTTCTGAAATAATGTATCAATCAATTCTCCTTGCTAGTTATAACTAGGTTATCTTTCATTACATAAGTTAGCATTTGAAGGTTATTAGTTCCAAACATAGTAAATTTGTATAAATAGGGGTGTGTGTTTATTGCTCACATGTACACAATTTAACTATGTCTAGCAAAAAAAAAATATTTAAAGAGGAGATATTTTTAATTTTTAAGTTTTTTAAGTACTGTCCCTGTATTAGGACAGTATTTAGAAGCCCCCAGTTTCTAAACTTTGTTTGTTATATGGTAAATTCATTTGGACTAAAAATGTAAATCTGTTAATAGAATGCATTGCTCTGACTAAATGAATTGTTATGCAGCTAACGTTTTTCTTCTATTTCTTTATCGTTGCTAAGATTTTTTTGTCATTGTTTTCTCACATGCTGGGGTTTTTTTCTTTTTTAGCTGTCTTTGTTTCTCTTGTTACAGTTGGTACCAAAAGCCCCAAAGTACAGCTCTGTGACTTGAAGTCTGGATCCTGTTCTCACATTCTGCAGGGTACTTTTTAGTCTGAAACATAAATGTTAAACAATAACTACTTTGAGTAAAACAAGTCCTGTAAAGAAACACTGTATACAATGTATTCTTTGTAAGTAACATGACTAATTTATTATTGCCAGTTGTGAAAGTTACACAGTGGCAAAAGGTTCTTCTGGGTGTTAGTCTAGTGCTAATGAATTGGAGAATACAAATATTAATTAATGAGCAGTTATTACAGATGTTTGGGCATTTTCATGAGCTAATCAATAGTGATTACTATTTATTACATGGTTAAGTGTAGGCATTGGTTCTGTGTTCATGGAAATTCAATATGGGGTACTGCTTTTTTTTAAAAAAAAAAAACCAACCAACCAACCCCAAACCAAAAAAAACCCCAAGGCCAAAACAAAAAAAACCAAAAAAAACCCCACACCTTCACTGTTTTTGATAAAATCTCCTGTGGAGGTGCTTGCATGGATTTGTTTAGAAGTTTCTTTGTAACAGGCAAGATACTACTTACTATAGAACGGTGGTATCTAATCCGTTGCATTTACCTAATTCAGTAAGCATAGGGGTTTATTGTTGCATAATCCATTACTTTTTGCACTTAATGAGGATTTGCCCTTAATGTCTCTTTCCTAATGTTTACTTTCTGGAGTATGAGTGTATATACACATGCTCAGGTGAAGGTAATTACAAGGTAAACCTTGATGCTTCAAACCAGCAGGGCAAGAGCCAGATCTGATCTAGAAACTGTAGAGAAGTGTTAGCTCAGACACAGCAATGTGCAAATGCAGCTCTATTTCTTCACTGGCCAGCTCAAGTCTAAAAGCAGCCTAGGTGCTTTCGTGTGATGCAGAGCTTAAGCCAGTAAGTCTTTCTGAACTGAATCAGCCATCATGGGTGTCTCAATGTTCTGTTTCTAGAACTGAGAGCACCAGAGAGTGCAGGCACAAAAATAGTTCTCTGGAGAATCAGTGCGGTTTCAGCAGGGCTTCTTAATTTTGACACGAGTTAGTGCTTTCCAGGCACAAGCTGGTTGTGTCTTTGTACGAGTGCAATATGAGATGAACAAGTTCCACTAAAAATAATCTAATAATTCTTTACAGAACTTGAAGCACTCAATAGTGTCTTGAAAATAGGTATGAATGTTTTTCACATAGGCTAACTCTAGCAGCTGAAATGGAGCTAAATGTTTGTCTGTAGTTTACTTAATGGATCCAAATAAATGTGTCTGCCCTGAGCTTTCCAAGTGTATCCTGTAGTACCTTATTATGGAGATTTTTTCCATTATCCTGGAAATCACAGCCCTTTGATTACTTCAAGTAATGGAAAACCAACTACTGGAAGAGGTACCGGAAATAAGGTGGTTCGCATAGCTTTAAACTGCATTAGCAAAAATGTATTTGTTTAACTTAGTTTATTTTTCAGTAATGTGTTTCTATTACTACATGAAGCATGATTGCATTCTTTCCATTCAGGACACCTTACACTTCCTATTGTCTGTATTTGTCTAACATTTTTTTAAACTTTCCAAGTTTTAAAATGTGTGTGCGTATATATATGTGTATAACGTGCCACTAAGCTGCACTGGGTATGACGTTGCTAAGAAGATGTTTATCTTAATATCTTAATATTTCAGACCCAATTAGGGGAAAAAATATCCCAAATTCAGGACAAGAGTATTTGAGGATAAGCTGAATAAAGTTTTAATCTTAAGTACATAAGGTAAATATACTTTTTATTAAACGTTTTGAAAGGATTTGAAGAAAAACAAATGGAAAGTTCCTTCTGCATGTGAGAACACCAGTGCTAACACAAAATTTAATAACAGTACTTGAAGTAAACTCAGTAGCTGTGACTGTGTATAATGTGTTTTGCATAGGTAAAACCATCTTTCTTACCAAAAGTTATACACAAGTAATACTCAATGTATCACTTTCAGCTCACTGCAATCCCACTTGAGCAAGAGGAAGAAAGAGAAATAATCTGTAGCCCAAAATAATGTGTTTTCACAAAATTCAAATTCATGTTACAATTCAGATTATTGTTCTGGATTGGTGAATCCTATAGAACTAAGTATATGCTTTTATTTTTAGTTATTTGCATAAAATGGTGTGTATAAATATTTTCCTAGAAAATCATATAAGCCTTTTCATATAATTTTTAGGTCACAGGCAAGAAGTACTGGCAGTGTCTTGGTCCCCACGTCACGAATATATTTTGGCCACAGCAAGGTATAGATGTTGCTGGACAGTTATATGCATTAAAAATGTCTGATGGTGAAATTTAATGTATTCATTATGCATGTTTTTAACAATTCAAATGCACTTTTAAAGTTAATCTTCATCATTTACTTTAACCTCTTCACAGTTTTGTAGGTCTTGCCTAGAAAAGCTATCCAAGTGATGCTTATTTTATAGGAAGATTGTACAGAATTTTGAAATAGTAATTGCATCTAAAGGTATAGGAAAATGATAGAGCATTATAGAGATATTTACTTCTTGCAGTTTATTAGTGTGCACCCTGCTAATCTGTTTTATAACAAAGTAAAACATGTTTAGCTCAAAGTACCATCTTGGTTAATCATGCTCAATTATGTCAAAGAGCATAATGCAGGTAGCTTAGCTGACAGGTAATAACTTTCCAAGCTACAGTAATTCAGTGAGTACGGATTGTATGTTGATATTCGTGGGCCTTTTTTTTTTTTTTTAATTCCAGCCACTTTCAGTCTAAAAGATCCTCTTGGGTTTCCTGTAGCTTTTGCATATGTTAGCTTTTGATTACAATGTGACATTTCTCTTCTCAGTTTCATGGTTGGCCTGTTTTTTCTTTTGAACTGTGGAGATGAACAGCTGTTTGATAAGTTGAGAGTGAAATTTGAGTAAGTTGGTATCAGAATTGCATACCCTTGGCTTCTGATGCCAAGCCTCTGAAAGGCTCAATATAGTTGGGAAATTTTCTAACAGTGTGATTTATTTGTTTGTTTTAGCAAATGAAAAATTCTTTCCAGTTTTTCCATCACAGAAATAGTAGCAAATTTTGTTGATTAAATATTGACTTATTGACGTCTCCCGAAACATTTTGCTTCAAAGACATATAACTATAAACTGCATCTACCTATGTTGTCATGTTGCCTTATGATAATTGCATGTTAAACATATTTCTTATGGCTCCATTACTTAATGCCGTGCTATAATTGCACTACTAGTTCCTAATAACATAACTCCGTTTTGCCATCTGCTTAGACAAATATGGGCAAGAACTGGCAATACTGACATAATGAAGAGGTAGTGAGGAGAAACTGACTGGTACTGGTAAAAAGAGAATCTGGACTAACCTTGCATATCAGGAGATGTGACTGTTTTTCAAGACAACTGTATGTTTGCTTGTGATCATTTCAGGGAAGGGAAAATGTATTTTGGGGTTTTATGTGGCTTGTATGTGAAACGTGTTATTTCAAATTTCTCTATATGATGCTCAGCTCTTCCATAGTTTTGGCAGGAGATTGGAATGGTCAAGAAGAGATGTTTTCTGGGTGTCTTTCACACATTTCAGATTCAGGCACTAGAGAACATTATAAGCTCTTTCTTGCTCATTATAACTGGCTAGAAAAGATTAGCCAATAGAAACTGCTTCATCAAAAATGGACAACTGTAGGCTTTTATAACAAGGAAGCTCTTTCTATGCCTTTGTTAAAAATATTTCAATGAACTACCTGCAGTTTGTTGCTCATTTTACAGTCAGCTCAAACCTCAGCGGTATCTCTATTCACAGCCTTAGAATATTTGTTTGCAGCAAAGTAATGTCTTGTCAGCATATTCCATTGGAATACCACTTGGAAGTTAACAGAATCAGTCTGTAGTGGAGGGGAGCACAAAAGAACAAATTAGTCATTAGCTTTGTCAGATGCAGAACAGGTAAGAAAACAGTTGGTTTTGCTTTGGTCAGTTGGTATATGTATACTATATATATTCCTGATACTAATGTACTGATCTAACTTGAGATCACGCAAGAAAAAGCATGTAGTACTTCGGTTAGAAGACTGCGTATCTAAGAAGCAGTTTGATTGGGTATATTTTCCAGCTGTAGATCAAATAGATGCAGTTGTTTTTGTTTAGCTGGGGTGAAAAGTGATTTATGGTTTGTTTGTTTGTTTTCTCCAAAAGGACAGTTAAGTTGCAGGGAACTGTCTGAATAGTTTCAGTAAATACATCTACACTGGTGACTTAGTGCATGTGAAGTGGTCTTTTCTATGAATTTACCTCCTATCTATACCTGGGAGTCATGTGGTGCACGCGGGGAAGTATATTACTGGAACGCTCAGATCAAGCTGCACATTAAGGTGCAAAGTGCACTGCCTGCAGTGTTGCTGTCTAAGCATGTACATAGTACCAACAGTTACTATAGCTTTTGTTGCTGGCAAAGACAGAATGTGAGCATGCAGCCTGGGAACCAGAATGAATCACAGCAGCCTGAACCTTGGTCTTTCCCTCCTTGTGCCACCCTGGTAATGTAGATAAAGCCAGTGAGTTCCTACAGAAGCAAGCTCCCAGTGTTTCTCTGCCATAGCACCATATGACAACAGAGCATATAGACCTATCCAGCCTTCGTGTATGTAGCCAACTTGTGTACTAGTCATACTGTAGATCTGTGATAGCAAGAGCCTAAGTTCCCAGCCAGCCATCACAGACAATGCTGGAGTCTGTAGCTACAGTTTAATCAACAGAAGAATTAGCAAGCTTATTCCTAGTCTGTGTATGTATGCAAGGGTGTTATGTGGTAGACAGAGGCAAGTGTATTGTATTGTAGACAAAGATTCACTCTTAACTTAGGTGCCTGTAGTGTACCAGCTATATTTATTAATTCATGTAAATGAATGTCTGAAGTCTGTCTTAAAAATTTTTTCATTAAATTCTATTGGCTTGAATGTGACTGCATGATGAGTAGTTCAGAATAGTTGCTGGCCCAGGTTGGCTAAAGACAGTTATTGAACCAGGGTGCACACAATTTCCCTAATGTATGCAAATCTGTTTTTCTTAGTGCTGACAGTAGAGTAAAATTATGGGATGTGAGGAGAGCATCTGGATGTCTGACTACGCTTGATCAGCACAATGGAGAAAAGTCCAAAGCATCTTCTGAGGCAGGTAATACAGAATATAACTGGTGGTAATCCATACGTAACTAGAATCATTCTTGTATTTCATAAATGTGTTGAATACTAAGACCATCAAGGAGAGTAGTGATAATCCAGTTCTTCTACCTACTGCTTAACACAGGCCATTGAATTTTATTCAGTTACTTCTGTTATAGAGACAGTGTTTGTGGTTGGGGATCTTGTTTAGGGAGATCTCCTTGGCAACAGTATTGTATCTGTTCTGAATGGTTTTCCCCCTAAAATGGGAAATTTTGCCATCTGTTTCATGGGCAGAAGAATTCATTCCTGTTGTAGATTAGGTTTCATATAAACAGCAGTCACTTCGTACTTCGTAAGCTGTTCCAGTAGTTAATTTCCCTCCTTTAAAAACAAAGATAACACAAACAAAACCCGCAAAAGTGTGTTCCTTTTCCTGTTTAAATTAATCTTGCTTCCAGTGCGAGCCTCTAGAATATTTTCTCATATGTGGTGCCATAAAATCAATTATATTCCTTTTATACTGCATAAAGTATACAACAGAGTATAAATTTATGATTATATTTAATTTTACAGGAAGCTAAATTATATTCATTTCCATAGAGTCAAATGCATTAATGGTGCATTAATTATCACATTTCCGTATGTAAAAAAAGTCTAAATTAAAGGGAATCTTCTGAACTTTAAATTATAGTTAATGAATTTTGGTCAATTCTGGAAAAAAGATATTTAATTTTGGCAGGCCAAAAAAGTACTTGAACGGTTGCTGTTCTGAGGTAGAAATACACAGTATTTGGAATTGAAGTAGAAACTGTGTATCATGGCTCTGAACAAAGGGATTTGCGTAGCATAAATCATAGTAATTAAGGCTGCAGGTCAGTCTGACTTGTTATGTGCAACTTATTGCACGTAGAAAAACACATGCAAATCTCTGTAAAGTCAAACTAATTTTCAAAAATGTACAATTAGAGGATATGAAGTAGCAGTATCTGTTTTAATAACCATGCTCTCTGCTATGTAAATTGTTGTATTGTAATGTAGATGTTTGGTTTTAACAATTTGAAATTTCATTGAAATTCAAGAAATTATTGAGATGAAAATGCTCCAAAGAAATCGAAGACTTATGAAAAAAGAAAAATTTGGACAAATTTTCTTTTATGAAAAACAAAATTCTGTGTAACTCCCAAGATCATTAGTGCCATTTTACACATTCCTTTGAATGACATGTTGTCTTGTTCAAACACAACAACTTTCTTTTCAACTTTATTTCTCTGACAGGTTCAAGATGATTTTTTGATAATCTAATGGCAATCAGATAGACTAGGATATTAAGTATATTGAAATATAGCTGAACTAAACCAAATGCAGCTAACAATTTTTAAAATAGAATTCTTGAAAAACAGATAACACTTTTTACCTAAGAGGTATGTCTAAATTGTGTACTGCAGTATAATGCAGTATCCGTTTTTCAGTGAGTTAATTTATGGGCACCATAATTAGGTTTTCTGTGGTAGCACTGAGTTGGATTTTAGCTACTTTAACATACTTAAGAATGTGCAGTATTGCAGGGTGAACTCAATGGAATTCATTTATAGTACTCTATAAACAATATAGAATATTCAGTTGGAAAGGACCTACAATGATCATCTAGTCCAACTGCCTGACCAATTCAGGGCTGACCAAAAGTTAAGGCATGTTATTTAGGGCACTGCCAAATGCCTCTTAAACACTGCCAGGCTTGGGGCATCAGCCACCTCTCTAGGAAGCCTGTTCCAGTGTTTGACCACCCTCCTGGGAAAGAAATGCTTCCTAATGTCAAGTCTGAACCTCCCCTGGCGCAGCTTTGAACCATTCCCACGCATCCTGGACACCAGGGAGAAGAGCTCAGCACCTCCCTCTCCATGTCCCCTCCTCGGGAAGCTGTAGAGAGCAATGAGGTCCCCCCCAAGCCTCCTTCTCTCCAAACTAGACAAGCCCAAAGTCCTTAGCCGCTCCTCACATGTCTTCCAGCCCTTTCACCAGCTTTGTGCCCTGGACGCATTCAAGGACCTTCACATCCTTCTTAAATTGTGGAGCTCAGAACTGCACACAGTGCTCCAGGTGAGGCCGCACCAGTGCTGAATAATCAAGCAGGACAATCACCTCTCTTGACTGGCTGGTTATGCTGTGTTTGATGCACCCCAGGATGCGGTTTGCCCTCTCGGCTGCCAGGGCTCGCTGCTGATGCATATTGAGCCTGCTGTCGACCAGCACCCCAGATCCCTTTCTGCAGGGCTGCTCTCCAGCCACTCCTCTCCCAATTTATACTTGTGCCCGGCATTACTGCATCCCAGGTGCAGAAACCGGCATTTCGGCCTGTTAAATTTTATCCCGTTAATCATTGCCTAGTGCTCCAATCTATCTGGATCCCTCTGCAAGGCCTGTTGTTCCCCAAAAGACTCAACAGCACCTCCCAGTTCAGTATCATCAGCAAATTTGCTAGTGGTGCATTCAACTCCTGCCTCCAGATCACTGATAAATATATTGAACAGAACAGGCTCTAGAATTGAGCCCTGAGGAGCACCACTTGTGACCGGTCACCAGTCAGATGCTTTTATAAACCAAGAGTTAAATTATTAATTTACTGATATGTTGCCATTTAAACAGCACTTTCAGTACTATACATGGAAGTAAAAATGTGTATACAAAATAGTAATTCTTCTGTGGAAATCTGAACCCTCTCTTTTTCCTGACAGCAAATACTGCTCACAATGGGAGAGTTAATGGTTTATGCTATATGAATGATGGACTTCATCTGTTGACCATTGGTACAGATGATCGGATGCGACTCTGGAACAGCTCCACTGGAGAAAACACATTAGTAAGTTTTCAAGAATCTTCAGTTAGGTTTTTACTTGCACTTAATTTTAGAAGACTTATAATTTGTGCAATTGTCATTACAACGTTGGATATTTATTCATTTTCGTAAAGGGTATAGCTGCTTAATCTCATCATTAGAAGATTTTGTGAGCATTTTTTTTCCAGATTTCTTTTCTTATTTCTATTTCTTATTAAAAAAACAGAGTATGAAGAAACCTGGATCTACTTAAAGATTCAATATGGTAACTTTAAGTTCAGTAATTTGTGAGCACAGCTGAAAACACTTCAGACAATAATGAAAACCTTAATATGCAGTGACTGTTGGTAGAATAATTTTTTTTTTTTAAACTATTAGTTGTCAGTGTGCTATCCACAGGGCAGTCATCCATACCTGAGAGTTTCACTGATTGACTGCCTGGGCTTCTTGCAACTTTCTTTGTGTTTTTGTGGAATCTCTCTTGTGGAGTTGTATAGCAGTGTTAAAAATATCTGTCCCTCTACATTTGCATTGCAACCAAACCGGGGTGGGAGGTGGAAATTAAATCTCTACTGCTGCTCCAGTCCTTTCTATGGCTTGTCTTTTGCTGAAGGTAGCTGTTTTAATTTTCTGTTCAGTAAAGAGAATTGTTTCCTATGTTTATTCTGAAAGAAGGACATACTAGGTAAGTCAGTTTCCATGGGATTTTAGCCAATGGTGATTATAGTCTGTGACTGCTAAGGAGAGGAAGAAATTTTACTCTACCTTAGAAATCTTTTACTTCTGCTGCTCAGTTTCAGAACACAGCAAAAAGAATTCCTTATGGACATTTAAATGAAAGGACTTTTCTATCTCCATGCTACTCGTATTTGCCAGCTTGTTCTCAGCACTTCATATACAGACATCTTTCTGTCTTGAAATCACCATCACCAAAGTAGATAATACAGTTTGTTCGCTCTCCTATCACCAGCTGTATCATTGTTTTTTGTTTTTCTGTGCCTGTTAGTTCATTGACTTGTTTCATAGGCTATTTTACAGTTTTCTTATTTGGTGTGGAATAGCTTGATCCTGCCTTGCTTTTTCAAGCCCAGAATTATATTGTCCAGAGTACTGTATTTTCACACATTGCCCAGAGGTATTGCTTAAAATGATTTCAAGGCACCAGCAGACAAATAAATGCATGTACAGGTAATACAAGTTCACACCGTAGTCCCTCTGTTTCCCCTACTAGCCAGTCCTTTTGATATCTGTAATTTTTTTCTATACCTTTCAAAAGGTATAGAAATTAAGCCATGCATATGAGTTTTTTTGAGCAATGAGCCTAGTGGATTGTTTCAGTTAGTAAGAGAAATGAATGTTGGAGTCATACACGTCTTGCGTACATCCTTTGTCACAAAAAGGAATAGAAAGTCCTGATTCACTGAGTATAAGAAGAATCAAAAAAAGGAAGCAGGTTTTCTGTTTGTCTATGTGTTCAAAGGACAAAGCCATTTTTTAAGATCTTTCTTCAGTTATTGTTTTGGCAGCATCCTTTCCTTTCCGTTGCTCCTCTATCAAGCAGGAATATTTACACTGAGTATATCCATATAATTTACTTTTCCCAGCCTCCACTCATCCCTTTCATTGTGCATGCCTTTGTTATGAGCAGTGGTGTGGCTTGGGAATTGTTGCTGTTACAGCTCACATGCTGTGTAAAGGAGTTTAATTGCTCTTTATCAGCAGAGTAATATGCCTCTTGAAATGACTAGCACTAACAAGACTTAACACAGTCAATATTTACAAACACAGTCTTTACAAAACGAGCAGTATTATCCACAAAGGACATGACATAACCTCCACATCTCATGAAAATACCCTCTCAATATGAAAAAATATCAGCCTATTTGTATGCTAATCAAACTCTCTTTGTACACATTTTTATGATGATTGAGAGAGATTTTCTCAGGACTTCTTTTTATTATTCTTTTCTTACATAAGTGCTTTTTGCTAGGAAAGAGCATACTTTAAAAATAGAGCAACAAGTAGTCATCTTTCTTGCCTGGCTTATGCTGACTGATGCTTATATTTGCCTCAAACTTTGGACTCAGGCAATTGATATAGTATGGATCAAGAACCTAACAAAGCAAGACATTTGTATTAGAATATTTACCTGCTAAACTTTACAAATCTGTTAACTTGTAGTCAAAAGATTTCACAGTTAGGATTTTTTTTTTTCTTTTTTTTAATTATAGGCCATGAGGTTTAGGTAGGGAGCTTTAAAATTAACACAGAGAGCTTTACTAATATTGTATGTATCAGTGAATCTCTGTTTTTCAGCATAAATTAAAAGCATATGTTGTAGGACAATACTATTTGAAAAAAATTTTTATATATAATGCTATGTACTATTAATGAATTTAAATTTAAAATACTGTTATTTTTATTAGAAAAAATGCTTCTTTTAGGTCATAAAATAATGTGTGAATTTCAGGTATTTGTAGTGGACTTCTCTCTCTTTGTGAAAAAAAAAGTGTATTTTATTTGTCAGAATTCTAATGCTTTGTTTTAATTAAGTTTAGAGGTAAACTATACTGTTCTCATGAATATATTTCTGTATTTTCTCATGAATACACTTTTGATGTCTGATAGGACCTAATTAGACTGATATATCCAACTGGAATATTTTCTAGCATGTTTGGAAACTTTCCACTTTCAACCTTTGGTGACATTTTTATCTGTATGGTACTTGTCAAGAGCTTGAAACGTACAGACACTAATAAGCTATACTTCTTATACTACTTTTATTTGCAAGCCTTCTTACACACCTCACAAGCCAGATCTTCAAAATCATAGAATCATAGAATCATT